AAAAAAAAAAAAAAAAATAAATAAATAAATAAATAAATAAACTCTTAACCTTTCTCTCACACCCACCACTTCTGCACACTTTTTTATGTGCTTAACTGTTCATTACTTCCCTCATTATTGAACTAGCAACCTTGGGGTCTTTAGTACCCCTCAATCCATTCACTGATCAAGCCCTTAGGGGGAAAAAAATCTTTCAAGCCTTTCTGTTTTGTTGGTTCTCTCTTGTATGGATTCTGGTAACCTCTTTAGCGGGTCTCTATGTTCTCCCAGTCCTCCTCCATCTCATACCTGTGTGGCCCCCACAACCACCATTTAACCTCAACAGTGTAGCCTAAATTATCTCTGGAAAGCACATGTCTCGGCATCTCATTCCCCTACTAAAAAACTTCATGCCTATGGGAAATGAAAATCAGTGTGGCCTGCAACCTTTTTTATGTTTCCTCTTGCTAGATACTTTATTCCTGGAATTTGCCACTTTGCATCTTTATGCCTTTGCCTGTGCCTTTTTTTGCTGGCTGGAGGAGGTCCCTGTATGTACTTCATTTGCTACCTATTTGAGCACCGGCTCTAGTTACATTGCCTCCGCTCTTGCCAGCTGTGTGACCAGGGACACGTTGCTGCGCTTCTGTTTCAGTGTCCTCATCTGTAAAATGGGAATCGGTAGTAGTACCTACTTCATGGGGTAATGGTGACGTGAGTTACTGTATGTTAAAGTCTTAGGGCAGTGCTTGGCATACAGTAAGTGCTATATTAGTGTTTACTGTTATTATTACTGTAGTTTAAAAAGTTCCTGCTCACCCTTTAAACTGAGCTGAAGTGTCGTCTTTAATGGAGCTTTCCCTGGTTCTCTAAGCACATGGTTGCTCCTTCATTGAGTCCGTTTCCCACACTTCCAGATCTCTCTAATTACAGACCTGGTTTACAAGGCCCTCTATGGTCTATTTGGTGCTTCTTTGTTCCCCAGATTTATTATCTGTTAGCTTGCTCACTATACATGCCAGCCATACTGAACGTCTTTCAGTTTTCTGAAAACGTACTTTTCCTTCTGTAAGAAGTAGAACTTCCAGAAAAGACTCAACTGCGTTACTATTTAAAGACCGCTGAAACATCACTTTCTCTTTAAAGCTTTTCCTGACCCCTGCCTTCTTTCCCAGATACAAAGGGACGTTTTCTTGGTGTTCCACTGTATTTTGTATCAGCAGTTCTCATTCCTGGTATTTGAACATACCAAGAATTGCACTAGTTGTGTGGAGTGTTGCAGGTAGAACTTTTTTCATCTTGAGACAGGGTTGTGCTCTTTCACCCAGGCTGGAGTGTAATGGGCTCACTGCAGCCTCAACCTCCCAGGCTCAAGCAGTCTTCCCACCTCAGGCTCCCGAGCACCTGGGACCACAGGCATGTGCTACCATGCCAGGCTAATTTTTCTAGAGACAAGGTCTCCCTGTGTTGCCCAGGCTGGTCTCAAATTTCTGGGCTCAAGCAGTCTCCTCCTGCCTTGGCCTCCCAAAAGTGCTGGGATTACAGGCGTGAGCCACTGTTCCTGGCTGCTAGTAGAAATAATAATAGTTCAGTACTAATGCATCAAAGCCTGCAACTGATTT